CACACACACTCCACATCTGATTTCAGGGAGCTCAGGGCCCTCGTGTGTCCCCTCGGTGGACTGCAGTTAGGAACGCTGAGTTAAGGTGATGAATGTGGGGAAGGGACACAGCCGTGCCACATGCTCGGGCTAAGAAGGAGGTCACTGCCCATCTGTTCCCTGAGGAAACTGAAGCCTCTGATCTGTGGTGTCGGAGATTCTGGTAATGGATGGAAAAGGAAACCACATTAAGAGATTAAAGGATCGATTCTGTGATTTGGAGAGCAAGATGTTGGACACAGGTGCCGTGTGGCTCCAGGTTAACTTCTTGGCTCCTGATGGAGAGGGCGCGCCCAGGGCGTTGCTCCGGGGTCTGGAGCGCCAAGCCCAGCAGGAAGCACCAAGCCCAGCAGGAAGCACCGAGAGGGCTGCTTCCAGCTCTCGGGACTTAGGCTCGGTCACACAGGGCACGGCCCTCACCCGGCAGAGTTGGGCACTCACAGGGCCGCTCCAGGCAAACATGAGGATCTGGTAAACGTGTACTTCCAGTGCGCCAGACACAGTTCCTTTAGAAATTCTATTCCACCACCCGCTCCCAACCCCCTGAACTCCAGGGTGTGACAGTGAGGGCAGTGGAGCCCAAGCACCATGAGGAGGAGGAAGGAAGAGCCCCAGACAGAACCAGAAGGGCAGCCGGAGCACGCGTGGGGAGGCCAGGCTCCCCAGGAGGGAGAAGGCGATGCCCCGCTCCAAGCCTCCATTTTCTCTCTGTGTAGTGTATACTGTCAGTAGGGACTTAGTCACGTGGGTTTGTTACGAATGCCACACAAGAGTGCACACGTAGCATGAGAAACATCCCTGGCACATGCTTCATTCTTAGTGCCGTCATCACCATGGTCGAGGTGACGTCACTGCATTTTTTTCACCTAGCTAAAAGAGCGTGGGCTCTTGGCTTCCTCTGCACTAAGCATTGTTCTTTGAGCTTTCCGCATATCCAAGCCGTTAACTTCTCAACTCTTTTGAGAGGGATGTTGTGTTTTGGTCCCTCCACACACTTGGGGAATCTGAGGTGCACACAGTTGGGCCAGTTTGCTCAAGGCGATAGAGGTGGTCAGGAGGTGGGGCAGAGCCAGCCGTCTGAGAGCAGGACCTGCTGTCTCAGTGACCAGCCTACACTGGCTCTAATGTGGCTCCTGTCGCCAGCAGAGACTGCCGTGCAATCACAGCCCTAGCAGCACGGGACAGGGTGAAGGAAGGGATGCCTGCATCTGCATCAGGAGAAGCAGAAATGTGGGCATCGGGGCTGGGAACTGGCCCTCACTCAACAAAGTTGGCAAGGAAGCTGCCTGTCCATCACTGCTAGCCTGCTAAGCGCTTAGTTCTCAGTAAGGGGTGGGGGTGCGAGAGCCTCGCACGGTCAGCATCCAGGACCCCGTCAGGCCAACAGCGGGAGGATTGGCATGGTCCTCCGCTGAGAAGCCCCTGCCTCCTGCCTCTCAGCTGCCCACTGCAGCTCATCCCCATCAGAGACTACTGAGAATGAGCTGCTGAGTCTGGGCCTCTTTCCAGAAACAGATGAAGTAGGATCACTCTCCAGTCCCTGGCTTCTCCTTGCTCCAATACACAGCAGCCTTCCTGGAGGCAGGCGCTGTTTGGTTTTCCACTTAATACTTCATCCTGTGCCTAGGGTCTGGCTCAGTGCGATCTCTGTAACTGCTGAGTGGATGGACAGACAATGGTTAGATGCATAGATGGTCGGATAGATGAGTGAGTGGTTGGACTGGCAGATGGATGGATGCATAGACAGACAGACAGATGGGTAAATGGATGGGCGGCTAGGTGGGTGGGTGGTTGGACAGGCAGATAGATGGATGTATGGGCAGATAGATGGGTGGATCGATGAACAAATGAATGGATAGATGGATGACAGGAACATGGGTGAGTGGACAGACAGACAGACAGAGGAGCAGGCAGACACACACAGGTCCTCCTGCATGCCACTTCTCTCCATCTCCTCCTTCCCATCTTCCTCTTTCCCCAAATCCCTCAGATGCTGCCCATCACCCCGACCGCTCCTTTCCACTCTTGCTCTCTGCTTCTCTTGGCCCATATTTTCCTTTTCCTTGCAGTGTGACCACTGAACACAGTTGCCCCCCCCCCACTGTGGCTCCCCACAGCTGCGGTCCCCCTCCCTGGCCTGCCACATGGGGGCAGGGAAAGGCCAGAAAGGATGGCAGATACTCTTGGGTGGCGATGTGTGGGAAGAAAGGTAGAGGGAACACTGTGGGGGACACACCAGGCCTCGGCCCTGGGTGAAGCCAAGCAGACAGCGAAGTAGAGAACCGGGTGTTGTCAGGTGGGCTCCAAGAATGCCGGCAGGTGAGATCAGGAACACACATAGTTCTGATAAATGTTTGTAGAATGGATTAATGAACAGTTGAGGGAAACAGTATGTAAAGCTGTTATAAATACTGAAGGACTAACAGCAGAGAAAATGAACACTTGGTTGGGTCCATAGATGGTACTCTTCTTACCTGCCGTTTATGAAAATTTCATTCTCTTTGATACCCAGTCCATTCATTCTGCGTGGATTCACCCATCACCTGCCGTGTGTACAGCTGTGAGTTTGTATGGCTGTGTAGGTAGACTGAAAATCAGACAAGATTATCCTCAAAGAGCTCAGTATCTAGTTCAGAAGGTAAGAGATATATATGCATAAGGTCAAGATAAGATGTGGTGAATGCCACAGGGTTACAAACCCTGGATGAGTGAGTTTGCAGATAATGCACAGAAGAGGTGTGTGTTGACAGCAGACTTTCAGTCTTCTTTGGAAGGAGGCCATCAGGTGTATCAGGATCAACGCCCCAGACTCAGGGAGTCCACCACCATTTGCCCCGAGGCCTCAGCCCAGGACCTGAGTCCCGACCACTTATTAATGAGCTAATAAGCTCCCTTCAGCTCTGGAATTCCCTGCATGCTGGCACTGTGGCCTGAACTTGGGGAGATCAGGGCAACGTCTTGGAGGACCCCCTGACCCAACGAGAAGATTGGCTGCTTATCATTAATGCCAGGTGTGCACTGCGGATTTTCATTGCGGTGCTAAACCATCCCCTTGTCAGTGCAGCTCTCGGTCAGGGACACAGTCCAATCACATGGTTTACGTCATTACAGCACTAAAGGGACCATCAGTCACAAGATGGCCGAGGGGACAGATGGGTCAGAACAAATGTACCTCACTCCTCTCAACATCGCTCAGGCGTGAGGTGTGTTTGAGCTCCTGTCGGGAGCTGAGCGCCTTGCTGCATCCACGTGGGTCTGCACTGAGGCCATGAAGCTCCCGGCTTCCCCCATTTGCTTCAAGAACCCCAGAAAATAAGACCAGTGCTTTCTCAAGTCGCAGATTCTCGTAAATAGGACCCTGTCTGACACTTGATTAGAGGGAAGGTGGGAGAGCCGTTTCGAGTTGCACTGACAGAGAAAACAGTGTGGTTGCAAAGTCCACACTCTTGTAGAAGTTGACAGGATCCCACCAGTACTTGAGTGCTGCCTCAAAACATCCACAGGACCCAAGTGGATTTTGAAAGACAGGTGTTTGGCTTTTACCCTCAGCCAAGAAGGCTGGGCATCTCCTGGAAGTGGACAGAGCATTGTTCTCAGCAAAACAAGGAGACCTCTTACAGCAGAGACGTCAGGAACTCCTTTCCAAGTAGAAGTAAGTTGTGATCAAGGCAGCCAGGATGGAGGAGCAGGATAAATGAGCCTAGCAGCCACACTTTGAGTGGTGCTTAGTCAGAAGGCTCCATACCCATGGCTGGGGAGTTACACAGATATGTTGCTAGAACATTCTCTCACCATTCCACCCACCACCACCTAATAAGGAAAAAGGAAGCTGCAATCTGGCCAGTCTCTCTAAAGCAGATTAAATTTGCTCGGTAGGCATTTATTAAGTACCTGGATTTGAGACATGAGAAGAAGGTGAAATTAAGCTATTAACTCTAGTGTCTTTCTCTATAAAATTTCTCTGTACAGGGAGAGAACCATTGTGTCCTGCCTCTTGAAGATACATTAGTATGAAGTGGCGAAAGACTCAGAGACCCTTGGTCACTGAGAAATAAAAGTGGAGGAGGTCTCAGCCTTTGTGTTCTTGTAAAGTTTCACTTTTCTCTGCTGTTCGTTTCTTAATTTTCAGTAGCCAGAGATTCGTCCTAGTTAAACATGATCCTTCTTTAAAATATAGATGCCTTTAAATCGCAAATACAAGCACTTTACAAATAAAAATGTGACCACATTGACATTTTTACTCATCCATTATTTTTTATTTATGAGATGTTATTTAAGTCCCTACTAGGGTCCCATTTTAGAGTTCACATTTAAAATAAGTCTGGAGAGAGGACATCAGTGGTGATCACCACCATGAGAGTCCCTGACTACTGTCAGGTATTTACACTGTGTCGAGCGATTTGCATTCCTCATCTCTTTGAATCTGCACACTGCCCTTGAAGATAAGGTGCAGTTAGCAGTGCTGCTCACTAAGCAAGAAAAGTAGAGGCTGAGTCACTGGCCCAGGGTCACAGGGCTGGTACGGCTGCAAAGCCAGGAAGCCATAGCAGTTCAGGTTCAGAGCAGGAGATCAGTACTGCTTCCTCTGGAATTCCTCCTCCTCCATGCAGCTGGTGGGCTTACCGGGACCCCTTCCTCTAGCTCCGGGGCCCCGGTCTCACGGGTTCTGTGCTGCTGCCCCGTCATGGTAGCAGAGCCTGCTGTGGCCTGGTCTTTGCTCGTGCTCTCTGCAGCCCTGGGACAGGGCGGCTGGGATGCGTCCTGGATGACAACAGGCAGCACTGCCCACAGTGGGCAGCTCCGCTGGCAGGTGCAGTGACACAGGGGTCATCAGGGCAGCTGCACAGAGCGTGTCATCCCAGGGCCCACTGCCCGGGGCCTCTGCTCCCGTCGTCCGCCCTCAGGCTTGGAGCCGGGCCGAGCGGGCCTCTGGCTAAAGCAGCGTTTCTCTCCCTCCACAGGCATGAATGCTCTGCAGCTACAGAACCTGGCGACGCTGGCGGCGGCCGCAGCCGCGGCCCAGACCTCAGCCACCACCACCAATGCAAACCCTCTGTCCACCACGAGCAGCGCCCTGGGAGCCCTCACAAGTCCGGGTAAGGGACGTAGAGGGGTTGGCGCCCGGAGTGGGGGTGGGGGGTTACTGCAGTTGTCACGGCAGGGAGGGGGCGCCCTGGGCAGCGGGCAGGGGCTGGATCTCTGGAGAGGTTCTTAAAGACACTAGGTTCGAATGCACATATGTTTGATTTTCCGAGAAGACAGGGGACAGAGTTTGCTGAGAGCAGCCACCGGGCTGGCGGGTCTCCGGCCTTCACTGTGCGTGGCGACCGTGCCATCCGTCGCGCGGTGCTCAGGCCAGCACCTGGGGGGAGCCTCCCTTACTCCCTGGCTCCCTTGCATTGCTTCTGCTTGTTAGCAGCTTGAGGGTCCTCTGTTGAGTCTCAAAATCCCTCACTATTCCAGGGTTCTGTTTCACACCAGCTCCATCCTTCATGCTGGCTCTCAAAACCCACGGTCTTGAGGGGACCGTCCTTGCCGTCGCCTCCCGGTCGCGTCCCGGGCTATGTAATTTCAAGTCTTTCTGCTCGGAAATGTTGCCTTATTCAAAAGCAGATGCTGTTCTCCTTTTCATACGAGCCAGACATAACGCGGTTGCTTAGATACCAGCATTTGTGCCCCAAAAAATGTTTTGCTGGCTTTTCTTCCCCTCTGAATTTTCGAGATCTTGTTGGATGAGCTCCCCTCCCCACCCTCGGCTCTGCAGATCCCATACCCTCTGCCGCCTGTGCTCCAAAGAGGAGCTGCATGGTGACTGAGTTTGCATGTGTTCATCTGGGGCTCTCTTTCTGGAAAACACGAAATGAAAAGACGGTTTTCTTAAGGCTTTTGACAACGGGAAGCCACGTGCCCGCGCCCCGGCCAGAAGCTGGTGGTTCTGGTGGTTTGTTGATGAAATGCTGGGTATCTAATCTGTCTCCCCCTGAGGAGGACCGTCCGCAGGGACACACCTCAGAGACACTTGCGGGGAGTGGGGGGGGTCATCCTCAGCACGCAGTGCTCTCCTGGCAACACGGAGGTGTGTGGACTTGGTTCTCTGGGATGCCTTCAAATGTGTCCCGTTACCATGTGGGGGCCTCGTTTGGTGCAGTAGATGGTATTTCCAAAAAATCAACTTGAGGCCATTTTTCCCCAGCAAACTAACTTACAAATCTACTCCAATATATGAACCTGTTATTTATATAAACCTTTTTAATGGCCCTAGTTAAGCAATAGACGTTTTGAGAGAAATTCCCCTAAACAAATGATTAGTGATTTTTCTTAAAAGCTAATTAAAAATTTAACCTCACTAATTTACCCGTTTTATAAATCAGATTGAAAAGCAGTTTCTTAGGGGGCACCTGGGTGGCTCAGTCAGTTAAGCAACCAACTTCAGCTCAGGTCATGATCTCATGGTCCATGGGGTCAAGCCCCACGTCGGGCTGTGTGCTGACGGCTCAGAGCCTAGAGCCTGTTTCAGATTCTGTCTCTCTCTCTGCCCCTCCCCCCTCTCAAAAGTAAACATTAAAAATAAATTTTAAGTGTCTTCTTAAATAAGAATGTTTATCTCCCCACGAGGACAATGAAATGATTATGTTAAAACAGCATAATGTATACACACAATTTTATTGTCTTTTTAGTCAGAAGCTTGAATTTTTAACTAATTTATCTGGAGAGAAAAAAATTAAGTCATTTACCATCTGAATGCTCTTTTATTTGCTTGTATAAAAAGTAAAGAGGATTATCTGTGTTTTTTTTTTTAAAATATTAGCTTTATTTAGCAAAAGTATATTATCTGTATTCTTTCCAAACTTGGCCTTCATCTTCTGTTTGTTTTATCAAGAGTGACCAGCAGAAACTGACCAAATCATTGGTAATAAAGTAGAGAAAAAAAAAAAAACTTTTCATTAAATGGCCAGGAGCCACATAGCCCACGGCTTGGATCAGCCTTTCAAGACTTCAGCTTTGGTACATTCAGTATTGTAGTGATGTTAAAATTGTCCTCCATTCCAGAGACAGACAGACCGTTATCATAAGTGGACTTTTTGGTTAAGGGTACGTGCCCTATTGTTTGCTCCTGAGGGTTCATTTGACTTTTTTAAACTATGTTTTCCCATCGTGACATTTGGGCTGGAATGTGCCTTGGCTCCAGGGAATCAGAATTAATATTTGAACATTTCGTTCTTCTTTAAAAGAAGACTTGTCAGTTTACGGAGTCAAGTGCAAACAGGATGTAAGTTGGTCGGTGTAGACACCAGAGTTGATAGTAACAGCTATCCAAGTGGCTGTCCGGTGTCAGGCGCTGGCCCGGCACGCAGCACAGATGCGCCTCTGCCCTTGAGTCTCCCGCTTGGTCAGGGGATCTGACAGCAAGCACGTCCGCGCACCCAAAATGTGCCAGGCAGTCCTGTGGGGACACACCAGACAGAGTATGGCGGAGAGTGAAGGGGGCTGGAGGGAGGCCGTGGGGATATCTAGGGCAAGGGCATTCAGGTGCGGACAGAGCGAGTGTGAAGGTAGGAGGGCCAGGTCACCTGCAGGGGTGGAGCGGAGGGGGATGTCCCCGGATCCACATCCTTTCCATCCAGTAGGGCCAGAAGCGCAAACATTGTAACTTGTTCCAGGGGCGGGGGTCGGGTTAGGGACTCAGCTGAGGAAGATGGACTGTGTATTTAAGACATTTTAAACACATTTGACCATTTTCAGGTTTTACCTGAGCTCTTAGTGAAAAGGAAAATGTGTCCTGGGATCTCTTTTACTTCTTCTCCCCAAAGCAGAATGTCCTTACCTTTGCTCTCGAAGAAACATTCTGCCCTTCGAATAATTCTGCTGAGGTGCTGCTGAACGTGGTTTTTCTCCTGTCTATTGAGCAATGCTTTGCATAATAGCTGAAAGTATTTCATTAGAATCCTGAAGTGTAGCAGCAGAAACGATTTAAATCTACATTTCAATTATTTTTCTTAAGCGTAACTAAAAAAAAAAAAAAATCTGGCATTTAAGTGGAAGTAAATTATTTGTCTAATTTCCATCAGGGACTTTTTCAAAGTCACAGAAAATGTGGTTGGTAGAATTCACGACCCTCCACTTCATCAGAGCAATTTCCTGTGAAATAAAAGGGGGGTGCACAGTGGTTCCCAAGGCCAATGCCATTATTTGTCTTTTACTTAATGAAGAACAGGACTTATATCATTGTACCTCTAGCAAGACCAGTCCAACTGTGAGATGCACTGATGCCCCATCACTCGGCACCCACACGGGCCCTGATTTTACCGTTTTTAAAGATGTCCCCTATACTTCAGACCAGTCCATCTCGAAAGGAGAGGAACAATTCAATCCCCCAAACTATTAATTTTTTTAATAATTGTAAATTTATCATTTCAATTTTGCATACCCAGGCATAGTCTCCCTACAGCATTATTATAAATGATTTTACACAGTCTATGCTTTAAAACATGAAAGATTAAGCTTTAATTTTTGTTAAAAAAAAATCCCCGTAGGCAATAAATAGATTCCTTTGTCTCGTGGCCTTGAAATAAAAATTAAAATAGTTTAAATTGCCCATGGTTAGAATAAGTGTTTCATGCAATTATCAGATGGTAGTGAATAAAATTAGAAATTAAATCATGAAAGAATAAAAACCAGGTAAATGCATATTATGCCTTTCATGGGTTTCTCACGGGGTCTTTTGAAGCCTAATTTAATCGTGTTTCTTGTCTTTTATTTTGATATGATAATTTTGCCTTTGTTTACTCCATTCTCCTATTTCGTTAATTAAATCCTGGGTCATTTCTCCTCCAAATTTTGAACCTGTTTTTGAGGAATGTGTCTCTGTGTTGGTATAAAGAAGACATTGTCTACAGGGTGTGCAGCAAGGTCTTAAAGAGAGATGACAATATTTGTCTTCTCCCGACTCGTGGATTTGTTAGTTTTGGCTGGCAGTTTTGAGAGCGGGAGAGAGCATTATTATTAACCACATAGGCACACGTCTTTGTCATTTTCTGTCTAAAACATAATACTGCATTCGTGTACCACATTACTCCACTGACCTTCATCTGTTTTCTTTTTTTTTTAAGAGGTTTTAAAATTCTCCAAATGCTCCTGTAAGTGCACTCAATCAAGTGCACACTTCACGATAATAGATAATTTCCCTCGATAGGATAAGGCATTTTAAAATGCTAGGGAGGCTTTTTTTCCCGTTCCCACATTTGGCTTTTCAAATAGTTGTCCCTTTAAATTCTAGGCAATATTTTATCCCCCGCATCTTCCAGAGGTCACCCGCCTCCTTGAAGGCTGTGACAGACACAAAGTCCCCAGGAAATGGTGGCTCCTTGGGGACTCGTTGAGGTTCGTGGGGCCTGGAGGTCTTTCCACGTGATCCTCCCTTCCTGGGTCATCACATGAGAAGGACCCGTGAGTGGTGACCTTCAGCGTCACACCCCCGTCACCGGGGCAGCGGTGGAGAAGAGCGGAGTGGGAAACGAGGAGTTCTCCTCAAGGTCACTCCAGAAGCCGTCAGTGTGAGGAGAGGCATCTGTCCCCGTGTGTGTCCCTGCGGGAACCGCGTCAGGTGAGGAGGTGCCATTCGCAGGCTGCTTTAGCCCACAGGTCTGATTTGGGCCCCACACCTCCGCCCTCCAAGCTGTCACGTGCAGGGGACAGGAACACAGGTGGAGTTAAGGAAATGGGCCAGGAGAGGCCGTCTCCCCCACGCTGCCGCCCTGACCCCACAACCCCGGGAAGTCTGCCCGCACGCGTCGTCCACGAGTCCGAGCCCCCCAGCCTCCCCTCCTCCCAGTCCTCTCTCCTTGGCCCAGTTGTATCAGCCTCTGGGTTCGCGTCGTGCGTCTCATCAGGCAGGTCTGGTACCTTCTCTGGAGCATGTGCTGGCCCCTCCACCCCAGTGGTGCTGCCCTGCACGCAGCCCTGACTCCCTCCCTTGGTACCGTCAGAACAGCCTCCGGCTTCACTCTTGCCCCCCGTCCACCTGGCTCGCTGTGGGCGACACAGAACAGCTCCGTCAGACACCTTCCCCGTGGTGCAGGGCTGGTCTAGAGTGAGG